ACTTGCTAAAGAATAGTAATAATATCTGTCACATCTCTGAAGCGATGGCTATCACACAGTCATTAAATCTTGCTTAGTTCATCTAATTATATGGAATTCAGTATTATTTCAGTTTATCAACACAGTGAGTCACTTGGGAACTGTATGGACAATATCATCTAAGAGAAGATTGCAGTCAGGAAGACAGAAATTAGTTCGATGTTAAGTTCAGGTGGTGCTTTTGTGGTATAGCTGCATTGCTAGCTCTCATCTTGTCTCAGTCTCTCTGGTTTTAACTTGAATATTATGTTTCCCCTTTATAGTAGTTGGAAATCTTGTGAGAAGGCACTAATAAAAGGGGTGTGATTTGAGTTCGTTGGTCTAAGAGTGTGTGATTGAATCATGACAACGTTCAGGTTTGAAGGATCTATTTTGTGACATAGATAGGAGCAAATAACCCATTTTAACAGATCAGAATCTGATTTGTTAAGGCTTCTTGGGAAAATCATGCCTTTCACTTTAAACTTGCCCCATGAATAATTTTGCATTCTTCTTTTAATTCCCATTGTTTGTAATAGTGAAAACATATTTGCTAGACTTATTCAGCAAAAGCATCTCCCTAACATGGTCATCACCTCTGCAGCACTTCTTTCTGTGAAGTTCTTAGATTTAATGAAGTTCATGAAGAACTTCTACCTCACACTGAAACATGCTTGACCATTGTGTTGCTCTGCATGTAACAAAACTCAATAAATACCAGTTGTCATTAATTAAACATAATGGTAAGTTGAAAATTTTTTAAACAGCAATAATATTAATAGGCAAATTAGTTCTAGTGAAGTTATATTTAGGTGAAATATACTCAGTTTAACTCAATCTCATGGTACCTAGCCATTCTAGCATTTATGGCAGGATTGTACTCCTCGGATCTCTGTCTCCACCCCTCTTCATCCCCAAGAAACACATTATAAAATAATCCTCATTTAGCACCCCATCTGCACAGCCCTTCCTGTCCATCTGGATGTCAGATGGAAGTAAAGAGATATATGACACTTTGAAATAACTGAGGTGGTCTGGGTAGCATTTCATAATGCAATTTATAAAACCAAGTTCTAATATCCACAACTCTGTTTGAACTATTACTAAGTGGATAATGGAGGCCACATTTTCCTCCACAGTCACACTATTACCACATCTTCTAGTTCATTATTCTTGGAGTATTTTGAGATAGCTAGAATAGAATTAAATTTTAGACAATATTCATTATTCTCTAACAAAGTATATTGCTGAAGCATCATCATTAAACCATTGACCTTTCCTCAACAGAAACATTTCCCTTGCCTATATTGAGTCAACCTTTTGTAGGGAATTTGTTATTCTTGGAAAGTTTTTCCAAGACAAAGAGAGGAAGAAAAATGAAGAAAAAGGGAAAAAATGGAAAATCAAACAAGGCAGCATAGATCCAAGAAAACTCTTACAATAATACAGGTGAAATAAATGTCAATACACAAAGTTGAAAATTATGAAATATCTTCACAGAAAAAAAATACCTTCTCAGAATAATACTAATGCCTTAATAAAAGTTTGACAGAATTTCTTTCCTAAAGAGATAGTTGAGTAATCAGCAGCTCTGTGCTGGTCTTTCTTGCCCTTGTTTTCATTACAGGATTGAACTATAGCTAAGTGGATAATGAAGGCCACATTCCTGTTTATTGTTGTCTAGAGCCATATAAATAGTCTATAAAATGAGCTAAGTGGGAAAAAAATTACATTGTTGGATTACAGTGAGACTCTCCAGATTGGACTTTTCTTTCTGGTATGATCAACAGTATTCAAAGTGTTGGCTCTTCAGTTAGCCTGTGGACTGTAGTACTCATGATCAATACCTGGCAATGTGCAGCTGCAAAATAACTTGGACAAAAAACCAAATCTTTACTATTTGAAGACTCTGAGATATACGGTTGAGTTCTGTTGCAGCATAACCCACATTGTTTTATCATAGAACCCAACTTTGTTAAGAAGTAAAAGGATAGCCCTCAGCAAGCCCTTTGCAATGCTTTAAACTTTCGCCTGTATTCACTTTAGTTCTTAGACCTTGATTTAATATTAAACAAAGTGATGGGCTTAGATTTATACAATATGCTTTTTAAATTTGTGGGGGTAATAGGAATTATTCTTTTATAGTAATTTATTGAATGCTTTATGGTATAATAGAACCATTCAAGCATTCCACCCACATGCAGAATGAGTTAATTTTAGGATTAAAAAAAATCTATGCCTTCTGTATATAATTATATGGGTCTACCTGCTCCCCAGGTGGCTGGTTTGTCCCTGAGAATATGCTGCTACATCAAGAACTTGCCAATTTTCCCTACTAATGTCATATTTGACACATTGCAGTATAAGTAGTCAGATAAAACTTCAGTAAAATAAATGTTAAGTCTCTGCCATTATGCTCACTCTGTTCATAAGCCCAATGGGTATGACTTGGAATGGCTGAAGAAAGACACTAACATCGGGCCTCCCATGGTGACGCAGCAGTTGAGCGCTGGGCTGCGAAGCTGCCGGCAGCCTCTGCACCGCCGCTTTGATCCCCAGCTGCTGGGCGAGGGTCCCACATAGCGCGCAGACCTCTCCTGCCGTGCCCGCTGCTCCCGTCAGCAGTGTATTTCGTCAGTCTGCCTGTTCTGCTCCCCGCTCTGGCTCTGGTGAATTCTCTCACCCTCCCGCGCTTCTGACTGTACCCAGTGCTTGTGTAAATAAATAAATAAATCTTTAAAAAAAAAAAAGACACTAACAATGTAGATCATAGATCATATAGTCTTCCTGATGAGAGTGCTCAAAAAAAGTTACTATTGATAATCATTTGTATAAAAAGTAAATAATCTTCTACTCTGGTTCCATTTCGAGTTCCATTTTTATAGCCCCCCCACCCCGAATGCCTTGTCATCAATCTTACATCTCTTCTCCAAGTCCTTGTCCATCTTTCCAAAGAAATTCTTCCCTGTTCACACTCAGTCTATTTGCAATGCATTCCTCTTTGACCTTCATGACAGATAAATTTTGCTCCCCTCTGGTAGTACAGATCAGGTAGGGAATTCATGGACTGCTCATCTATTTCAGTTCTAGAAATGCCATGCAAAATTAGTCACCACCAAAATAACTTAGATCAAAGCACCTTTATTACCCCTTTGGTTCTGCTGCCTATTCAAGTAACTGATGTTTCTTTTCATTAAATACTGTTTGCCTCTGTCACCATGGGATTCTATAGCTCCATTGAAATCAAGAGTCTACTTCAGTGTCACATTTCTCACCTTCATTCTTGGCTTACAGAGAATATACACTGTAGGGCTTTGGCTAAAGTATTTATCTACATTGGCATATTTCTCAATTCTGTGGTGAAGAGTATATATACTAGGCCCTCTCAAAAGAAAGAATTAAGGGGTTACTGAGTCAGTTGCCTATAAAAATAATCTATTTCAGTATTCCTATTTCCCTAAGACTTTGGAAATTCTGTCATTTCACTTGCATTCATCATAGGCCAATATTGAGTTCAGACTTTAATCAACTCAATGAGAAAACACTGAGAAGCACTCCCAGCTGCTCAAACTAGACTTCTAAATCAAGAATCTCTAGCTAAGTAGGCACTTCTTATATAAAGTCATACTGACAATGTTATGCCTATCCAAATATATCATTCCTGTCCTTGTATAAAATATCAGAGTCCATTTCCATAAATATCTCCCAGATTTTTCCTATCATATTAACAAAATCTTGTAATTATTTTGATGTAGAAACTTTATTTTTCCTGGGTTACTTTTTAACTGGTTCCCTGGAGCATATTGAAACCTGATCTCATTTATTGATCTTGAGGCAAAAATGGAAGCAAACATAATGTAATGAGGTGAATTTGCATACCCACCCAAGATGACTGTTTTATGTGAGGTGTTTACTGGGTCGTCATATAAGAAAGGACCACAAACTAGACAAGGAGAGGTTGCTTCTGCTGGCACAGGAAGTAGGTAAGAGTTGGAGAATTCAGGGAACTCACAGTCATCCAGTTAATCAAATGCCATTGATTAACAATTCAAGTTCTTCTCAATTCCAACAACTGCCTTAATTTTCACTCAAGATGTCTGATGTGGCTATGAATTCTATGTACAGTGCAATTCAGCTATCCTAGTGTAGTGAGCTTATGTGATTTGGGAGCTGATTTTAAAAAATGGCATGAAGTGGTAGTAGCACACAACAAGATTTATATGGATACTACCTTGACCTATTTTTATTTGAGAGAATTCCCTCACAACATGAGACCATCCAGAGGATATGGCACTGGGACTATTATTCAGAAGGCTAGGCAGGTAAGAGTACTTCCACAGAAAGAGAGATCAGAGAGGGAGGTTTATATGTTTAGACAATGTCATAAAACACTTCAACAAGGAGTCTGGTTCAGGGAGCAGTTACTTGGCATCTTTTATACATACAGAATTTATCTTATCTATGACTAGTAGGTCTTGGGTATAATTGCTTGGGGTATTAAAAATGGACAGGCTCTCAGTACCTAAAAATATGCTTATTTTGGCTATGTTTACAACAGTTGGATGTGCAAGTGGGTGCTGCTGGGTTTTTGAGTGAGCAGACCTCTGTCTGCTATAATCAAGTAAATAGCAGAGGTTCACTATGCAGAGACCATCTTTGGCTCATTCATACAACACATGATTTCTTTTATATAACATCAGAAAGCTTCTGATTTTTTTCTACCACAGCTCTGCTGATATAAAAGATAAGATATCATCTTAATGCAATCATAGAAATTTCTTTGTTCCCTGGTGATATTTTAAGGCATTCAAAGCTCTACAGTGCAATTAGGGTTAGCCATTCCACCCACACATTCCTTTTATGCTTGAACCAGCATTAATAGACTATCCAAACAGTCACTCAATCTGCACAGCTTTTTCTTCAATAGAACTTCATTCAAAGATCAACACAAGAGATAATTTAAATAACTGTTTTACCACTGGTTGTCATGGGAACATATTCCATCTTCTAATGATCATTGAATCCTGGTCACATAGCCAAGCAAAGATTTGCATTTCTTTGAATGTTGATTAGTTGCAGCCACTTCATGAAACAATTATTCTACCACAGATTTCACTGGAAATAGACAACAGAATCCATGCTATTTAGTTCAAGAGAATGGATTTAATACAGGAAATCTGATGAATGCAAAATTATAGAGGAACAGGCTCTAGACTAAATTTTGAGGAACAACTTTCATTTTCTAGAATCTTCTAACAGGAGGACACTGTTACAAAAGGTTGACAACTCTGAACTTTGTTGCTACTCTTGAGTACAAAAGCATGTCCTCTCTTCTATGATCCATATCAGGCAGGAAAAGAATGCTTCACCTTCACTGTCTCATCATTACTCAGTTCTTAGTTAACATTTTTGGAGATTACATCTTATTCATTCACTCATTTTTAAAACACCTACCTTATATTTGGATGCCTGTCCATGTGCTATGATATAGCAGTAAACAATGCTGCAAGCAATTCTTTTCCTTATAAAGACAAGAAATGAATAAATAGGAATTTCTTTATATTCTATGCCATATAGTAATACATGATAATTAAAGTAGCAAAAAGGGGAAAGGCTATGTTAAAAAAAAAAGGGAGGGATTACTGCTCTATGTGCCTCTATCAGGGAAAGTGTCAGTGATATATGGTAATTCTGGTAACATTTGAGCAGGGACCTGAAAGAAGTGAGGGACCAAGCTATAGAAATATGAGAGAAAAGTATTCTAGGAAGAGGAAAAAAACACATTGAAAGGCTTTGTGACATGAACCTGGTATATTCAAGAAATAGCAAAGAAGTCCAGTTGCGAATAGGCAAAGCAAACAAAAGAGTAAATAGAAAAGCAGGAAATTAGAATGGTGGTGAGTGATCTGGATAAGTAGTGCCTTTTAAACCATTCTAAGAATCTTAGCTACTCTTCTGCATGAAAGAGAAAGACATTGGGAAGCTTTAAATAAAGAAGTGACATGTTTTGACAGAGTTTGAATAATTTCATTTTGGTTGCTCTATGGAGAATAGAATTGTAGGGTCAGCAGAAAAATAGAGAAATGAATGAAGAGGCTGAGGTAATCTAGTCAAGAAGTGAATGCTTTGAGCCACGAAGGACAGTGGTGATGAAAGTTGTAAGGTGTCAGTTTCTCGGTATAATTTGAAGGTAGAACTTATAAAACTTGCTGTAAAGTATAAATATAAAAGAAAGGATGACACCAACATTTTTAACCAGATAAAGCAAAAAGATAAAATTGTCATTAATTGAGATGATAACACAGGAGGTATAACATGTTTAGAAAAGAAGGATTTTTTAGCATTCTTTGTTTGACATGTTAAATTTCAGAAGCATAACAGACATCCAGTAGAGATGTTGAGTTAGTAGAGATATACATTTGAAGTTCAAGGGAAAGAATGAGATATATGTTTGGTATTTTCAACATAATTAATATTTTAAAAGTCATGAACTAGATAATATTACCCAGGATCACATGTAGATAGTAAAGAGAAGAGATGCAAGAACTGAACTCCAAGATACTACAAGCCTCAGTGCTATGGGAATGGAGGAGAAATTAGCAAATGAGACTAAAAAGGACACCAAGAGTGAGTAATTTTCTGAACTCTGAGTAAAGAGCATATTTCAAGAAGAAATAATATGCTATATCAAATGTTGTTGACAAAATCTAATAAAACAAGAGCAGGGAGTTTACCATTAAGTACAACTGTGTTGAAATCATTGGTGGTCTTAACAACTTCCTCAGGAAATTTACAAGAATGAGAGCTTGATTAAAGTAGTTCAAGGGAGAATGGAAGGAAAATAGGAGACAACAAATACACATAATTCTTTTAGGGACTTTAGCTAAAAGGGATGTGGGTCAAAAGAATTTTTAAAATAGGAGATGTTATTATAATGTGTTTCTGTTCTGATTCAGGAGAAATAAAAACTTGATGATGCCAGACATAAAGAGGCAGAAAAGTAAAAGGGTATTATTGCAAGGTCAAAAGCTCATAAAAAGCAACTGAAAGTCATTCAAACTGACAGGAGACAAGAAGAGTACATGGTGGTGGTATTTGGGTAGTCTTTTCTGACTGCTTGTATTTTCTCAGTAAGCTAAATGTAAGCTTGGGAGAGAGCAGGGCTAGTGTTTTTGAGATCTGAAAAAGGAACACATGTAGTAACCCACCTTCTGAATAGAATGCAAAGTATAGAACTGTAAGGCAGCACAAAACATTCAGTTGAGGCTAACAGTAACAAACTTAAGTAATATTAATCAGCATGGTGGTTTGACTTTCTGCAACCATTTTCACTGGCCAGGTGTTAGCAGAGTCTGAAGAGAGTTGGTTTTAACCATAACTACTCCTGAAGCAAGCTATGCTCAGAAAGATGGGCCATGCAAAAGTAGTCAAAAGGCCAAGAAATAGCAAAACCAAACGTATGAGAGCACTATGTATATGGATATTTGAAATCACTACAAGTTATGAAATGTGTTCTGTTAGAAGGAATGACAAGAAAACCAGAAACTAAAATCTTCAAGCAATCCCAGGAATGGCTCCAATCTCTGAGTCAGTCTGCAACAAGCAGGGAAAGTGAGTAATATATTTTGGAAAATGGACTTCCAAAACTGAAGACAAAAACCTTCAAAAGAGCTTGTAAAAAATAATTTTAATCTTTCTAGCCTCTGTACACTGGCACGGATTTGGAACAAATGTTGAGTGTGTCCAGCCAAGTGTTCACCACAAACCTCATTAAGTTATACGTAAAATTCAGTATAATGTCTATGCAATTTAGATAGAGAATGTAGGTTTTTAGTTTTACTCATATCCTCAATATATCCATGATCCAGGAATGTTTTAGAAACATTTATAAATGTTAATTAATTTCAGTGACATATTTATTGGCCGTCTTCTGCCAAGCACAGTTCTTAGAACTGGGTCCCAAAGACGTATAAGGTAGAAGCTTTATCATTAGAATCAGATTATCATGAGTTAAGAGTAAGGATATTTGTGAGGGGAAAAAACCATATTACAAGGCTAATTTGAATAAGTACTAAGGAGAAGAGAAGGGACGTGCTGTAGGGTTGTAAGTGAAGATGTTAGTTATCATGATTGATGGTTCATAGAAGCTATAAAGGAAATAGTGAATTTCAGTTATACCTTTAAGAGTAAGAAGGATCTTTTAAACAAATGTAAAAAGAGGGGCCTCCCTGGTGGCGCAGCGGTTGAGCGCTGGGCTGCGAAGCTGCCCGCAGCCTCTTCAGTGCCGGTTTGATCCCCGGCTGCCCATCGGGTGAGGGTCCCACATGGTGCGCAGACCTCTCCTGCAGCCCGCTGCTCCCCTCAGCGGTGTGCTTCCGTTACTCTGCCTGTTCTACCCAGTGCTTGTATAAATAAATTAATAAATTTTAAAAAATGTAAAAAGAAAAATCCAGGTTCAAGAAACGGTATTTTTCAAAAAGTCATAGTCTTACAATTTCATTTCTCACCCAGATGACAATAATCCTAATGTAATTGAGTTTGGGAAGGAATGCAGTAGAAGATGAGTTTCCTTTTGACCATTTCAGGAAATGTTGCAACATGATGCAAGAGCATACAGACTGCTGTAGACAGAATGAAAGTGCTGAAAATGTCTTGTGACTGTAAGTGACATTATCCAATCTGTGATTTGGAGGAGGGGGGATTTCCAGTAACAAAGCAAAGGATGAATTCAAATATCAGGCAATTAAAGGAAGGGAGAGATTGTTATATAACTCTAGCAATAATTTAGATCAAAAATTGTGAGACTTTAGTATAATAACTGTGGAGCAAACAATAAAAGATACTCATAAAAAAATAAAACAGTATAAAGTGAACAGTACTTGAATGAATGAATGAATGAATCCTGATATATCTGCTTGGGCAGCAGGATGTTTAGAAGGTTGAAGTAAAGGGAAGAATGAAAAATGCTTAGTGGTTATAGTTTTTGAAATTGGTTCCTTGGTAATGCCATAACCAAAAAGGAGACTCAGCATGTTTGGTTTTGCTTGTTTCAGTGCATGTTAAGAGTTAAAATGTTCAATCTTAGTCTTTTTATTAGCAGAAAATTGAGATTTTTGAGTTCAGGAGGATTTGGGGATAAAAATATGATATATTAAGTAATTTTTTTCCACTGGATAATTTGGTTGAAGAAAAAAATGTAAATCACAGATGCTCTTAAAGAAACTGAGAGATTACTACTACTACTACTACTACTACTACTACTACTACTACTACTACTACTAGCTCCCATCCAATCTGATACCAACCCAGCACTACCTATAAGGCAATTCTTGTTGATTACAGGTCAGTGGCTGTTCTCATTGGTTGGTACATCTGACTAGATTTAAATGGCCTGAGACACACAGCTGGTTATTTTTATCTTCAACTATCAAAGACAGAAAATTGTTAAATTTTAGGATTATCTTATGATAAAGTTTGAAGATGAACAATCAGTGAAATAATTGAAGAAAGTGTTAAAAAGATATCAAATATGTGTGCTGATCAATGGATTCTAGATAATAATAAAAACAGTCTCAGTAGAGAGATCAATGGTTTGATTATGTGCAATTTCATTGGTAGTGAAATGAAGGCAGGAAATGCAGATTAGTTTCCACAAATTGGTTGGAGGAAACAAAAAGATGATAGATTAGTCACAGTATTTTTGATTACTAGTGAAAGAAAATATGAATTCAAATGATCTTAAATGACAAAAACAGAAAAGAAAAATTGGGGTTAAGAGTAAGGAATAGTATCTAATTTTCCTGACTTGTAAACATATGTCATGCAAAGCTAGATCCAGAGTTTTGTAGTGATGTGAACAGGTTCCAGTTTTTCTCTCCATGTTTCTCCTGTGGGTGTATCCTGGGGTGTATCCTACCTGGATTCCATTTTGATGATAAAGGAGAATCACCTTCTAAGATCTCTAGCTGTTGTTTGCAATTAGGTGCTCATGCTTGAAATGATCATTTTACTCAGTTCATGATGCATCAACATTGGATCCTTGCAAGGCTCCTTACTTTAAAAAACTTATTTCTATTACTGTGTGCCAATTTCATTCTGCTTTTTCTATGAAAATC